GGTAATTAATTTTTCACATATCTGTCTGTGCATTGTCCTAAGTTCCATTGAAATGTGATGATTAGTACCAGAGACATAAGAGGAAGAGCCGAAAATTTACTAATCATTATGCAAATTAGGAGAATTATATGCATGAATTTTTACCAAAAACTAATCAAATCTGTGCATTAGTCCACACACACACCCCCCCACACCCCCCCACACACAACCCCACCCAACCACACACACACAACCACACACACCCCCACGCCCCCACCCACACCCCAACACCCACACCCCCAACACCCACACCCCCATGTCGCCATATATTGGTCAAACGACACCATATATAAACGTATTTTCATCATATATTAAAAGCAACTCGTTATATAATGCAGTAATGTCGCCATATACTTAGTGACAACCACATAAGACAGTGACGGCGTTCCATATATATGCTATCGCATAAATCAAATTGCATAACGCTATATCCTGTAACTCAGATACTCTACTTTAGACTCTCGCCATCTTCGCCACGATCTAGTTATTTGTGCGCAATTGCACGTTTAAGCCTTCAAAACTTTTACTGTTTCATAATAATATACGGTGAACTGCAACGAGTTTCTTCTAGGTTGAACTTCCAAACGTGTCCTTATAGAGACCACTTACCTTCTTGATCAATACATCTGCCATAGCCAATTGAGGACGCGTCAGTATAAAAAAACCACACACGGTGTATGACGTTCTAAGTATTTACTGTTAAATGCAATCCTCACCACTGGTTATCCGCTCAAATCTTTCCTAATAACAAACAGTGAGCTTCAACGAGTGCTCGCCAGGTTGAACGTTCAACAATGCTATACAGAACACTTACCACATACACTCTTACCTTCTTGTTTAACATTATAAACCACCATGGCCGTCATGGCCGTCATGTACGGAAGCATGGCGTAGTCCCATTCATGCACATTAAATTCCTAACTCGCTTATCTAACATGATGAAAACGGGCACAAATATACCTATTGTGGAATTGTAGTGTTTTACTGATTCCTTCAAGCATGCACGGTTTGAAATAGCTCTAGATTTAAATAAATCGTTACCAGCTTTGATTTCATCGATACGTTGATGCAAGCTTAACAAAAAACAAGTCCCACACACGCAACTGA